TAAAGAATTTTAAGACGTTAATTTTTCACGGGTTAATAATAACAAATATGTTATTGTGCTCATTGGTAGATGCAAATATAACAATTGCTGTTTATGCTGATGCTAAAAGAGGCTGAATCATTCAGATGATCTCACACTTGAAGTTCGTTTAAGCGGGAAAAGGAAATGAAAGTAGTTAAGGAAATAGAACGGGAAGTTTCCAGTAGTTATTCTGCTTCCCTTACTCGACTATTGCTAATGTCTCTGTTCACACGAGCTCTAGTGAATTACTTCACTAGTGAAATTCGACCTTAGATCCCACACGACAATCAACAAACATCAAAAAACACAAATTCTGTTAAGTCTTTCATAAACCTGCGCCGATTGTGTTTCAAATCGACTGTAGCACTGCACTGAATAGGGGGTGTCAGTTTAAAATATATATAGAGAAGTGTTTAGAGATCAGATGGACATAATAGCCGGCAAAGCACTAGAGGTGTCAAAGGCTGGGTCTATAGATGCTATGACTTTTAAAATGTAGCCGTTATAGCGCATYGGTGGGCATCCAAGGTATATWWAWAWMAMWRTKYTTTTTTTGTACCGACAGAAACAATAGTCAACGCGACGTCAAACTGGCCACTCAACTCCCTCAATTCATCAGTGTTGCCGACATATGAAGAAAGCATTGCTGCTAACCACAGTAGTTACCTTCCGTACTTTGAGAGGGAGCCTTATTCTAACTTCTCTAAGAGCCCCTCAAACGAAAGGAGCTACAACATGATCGATAACGTGCCGAGAGTCAAAAAGTCGGTCCCTACATTGACAAGAGAAGAGTATTCCATGGATTTGAGTTACAGGCCACGTCAAATATTTGATAACCAAACATATAATGAGGAATATACACCCCGTATTGAGAATATTCCATATAGCAATCGAAATATCACCGCCACAGAGATGACTTTCACCACAGCTAGTCCAAGCACTACAAAGGAAAAACAAACCATCTGTCCCAACCCAGAGAAAATCTCTCTTTATAAGCCATCGAGTGCACATACTTCAAAGGATATTGCTCCTAAGCCTAAAGAAATACCAAGCGATGGYCAGACAAATAAAGAGAGCCTTTCCAAGGAACCGAGGGATTTCCGAACAAACTACGATAACCAGCCGAACAAGAAACCGAGTGACATCAAAGCCGAATCAAAACCCGAGGAAATATCGATCAAAAAGGAAAYCGAGAGTAGCACAGGAAGCCCGCAATCAAGCGTTAAAGATAGGTTGTCACCAGGGGTCAAAATGGCGGAGGATGCACCGACATTCAGTTCACCACCAGTTCAGAATAGCGACGACACCTTTGACGACAAGTCGCCTGATGACACTGTCAAGGTCAAGAAGGAGGCAGATGACGTAAATGAAATGTACTCGTTCCTTGATTGGAAGGACGGAATTGCAACTCTTCCAGGTATGGCTAGTAGATTGGATTAGTCTACTTAAAAATGGAATAGTTTTTATTGATTGACTTATATTTGGAAAAAGTTATAGCAATTCTAAACAATTAACAGGGAAGTAGCAATTGTCCCACTATATTTGCGCATGTGCCAAYATCTTGAATTCCTCGTGGATTCTTTTTAAGTCACTCGGTAAAGATTTCAACTTGGCTTCGCCACTSGGAAAAACGATTTTTCTACAAACGCGAATTTTTATCACACTCTTAATTAACAAAAGAGCAGAGAAGTTGCATATTATTGAGGAACTAGGATATTTTTAAACTTTAAACGTAACATTTTCTTCTCCATTAGTTTTTCTCATTGTTTCATCAGGAAGTAACTTGAAATTCAAAATGAACGAGTTTGGTACTCTAGAAATGGTCAGTACAGTTGAGACAGAGAAGGGTGAATACGAATGGAGTACAGCTAATGCAGGTAAGCCACATTAAAACAGTCAACGTCTTTTACCTTTTCAAAAATGGTGGAATTTCGAAATGAAATAAGATATGTTCAAACTATTTTGAAGAACTGTGCAGAGAAACTTACAATGTACAATTGTAATACATTTTGTCTGTTCTATTTTCAAAAATAGCTTGCCCGACTTTACGCTCTAAGAGCGTCTAGTTAGTTTTCCTCTCGTGAGGGAGAGTTGTTGAAATACATCCTGGCCCGCGATGGTATTGTTGCAATGGGAAACATTACAATCATATAAAAACAACAATTCATGTATCGAAATTTGATTCGTTTCAGACAAACCCTCTTCTGACCTAATGGCTGGCCCTCCTGACGACGGCAAAGTATTGTGTTGTGAGGTTTGTGGTATTTATGGTCTACCACAAGACTTCTGCTCCTCGGGCCGGTTTTGTAGCTTGTCCTGTGTTGGATCGTACACTGGTAGACGCAATAAAGGAAGAGAATTTATACGCAATGTCAATCCAATTGAACGCAAAACAGGAAAAAAGAAGAAAAAGAGTGGKAAAGCCAAGAAAGGGTCAAGCTCCAAGTCTGTCCCCTCCCCGGTAAGCTTTAATTTTGATCAATATTTYCAGTATACCCTGATCGATCTCCGTCTGAAAGTCTTTCATACACTTATTATAAGACTGAAGTGATTGATATCTTAGTATTTAATGCGTATGTCTAAATTATTATATCATGACAGGATGGAGAAGACTCAGGATTCATCGATGGATCGACAGAGGCTCAAGTGACGTCATTCAAAGTAAAATCACCACGTGAAAAAACCAAAGGACGTCACAAGATTCCTCCAGTAGAAGCAACAGGACAATGCCTTACGGGTTCAATGGGTGTGTAATGAGTGCTTTGTTGATTTGTTGCGCATGTTATTTAGCTCACTGAAAATGAACCGAAGTGGCGGACTGATTGAAAAGTTTTTTTTTTTTTTTTGGCTTCCCGACGCACACGAAAGGAAAGTGCGTAAGGGAAATGCCATGCGAGGCGCGCGAGAAGCGTTGTGCGCACCAATTGTTGATGTTCACGGTAAGAAAAACGCTGATATATCGTGTGTCGGGCTTTAAACAGTGTAGTAGACTCTCTTTGAAATATTTGAAAAATGGAAACGAGCTCGAATCGCGAAGTCTGTTAACGTTCAAAAAGCAATCCMATGATTCATTATGGTTTGTTTTATTCGTAGTTCCGTATAACTTCAGTAAACCTTTTACGTGGACTGACTACCTGTACACCTCGGGATCCAAACCTGTTCCCGTCAATGTCTTCAAACAGGTAAGTTTAAATTCTATTCAATAAGACCGTACCGTACTTCCGCAATGAGCACGTTACTTTATACACTGCGTTACGGTATGCTGTGTTACGTTACATTACGTTAACGTACAAACATATTTGTAATTTTAATAGAACAAAATCACGGCGTTGTTTACAGACTGTAAGAGGTACACCTGTTTAGTTGTATTGCGTTTCCTTATTGCGCGGCGTTACGTTTCATTACGTTAGCTATAGTTTTGTTTATCTCATTTTATTACGTAATTGTGTTACGTTACTTTAGCCGGTCCTTTACGTTATTATTTCTTCAAGGAAAATCCTGACATCGATGTGTTTCCAATGCCTTGTGAAGAGTTTAAAAARAACATGAAACTCGAAGCAGTGGACCCAAAACATCCATCGTACATCTGCGTGTGCACTATTGTGCGCGTTAAAGGCTCGCGTTTAAGGCTTCACTTCGACGGCTGGTCGGAATGTTACGATTTCTGGACCAATTCTGATTCAGTAGATATTTTCCCCATGGGCTGGTGCGAGCAGAATAACCAGACTCTACACCCTCCTAGAAGTAAGTACCTAGAAGACCGCTTCATTCCCTGAACGATCGATCATTCAAAGACTCAACCTAAAGTTTAGGTTGAGTCTTTGAATGATCGATCGGTCAGGGAATGGTATCAATCAACCGACCATTTCATCATTTACCGCAAAGTGGACGTGACGTGTTGAACTACCAATCCTTGTGATTGTGTAGACAGTATGTTTCGTTATGGTATTTCTCTTTACATAGTATTATTTAATCATATATTCAACTAGTTTCAATGCATTCAAAACAAAACTACTGTAATTTTATAGGTTTCACGAGAGGCGAGTTTAGCTGGCACAAGTACCTCAAGAAACAAGGCAGAAATCCTGCCCCAGCTCATCTTTTCAGACCAGTCGGCGAGAAAAAGCACAAGTTTGAGATCGGCATGAAGCTGGAAGCCATTGACCGYAAGAATCCAGACCTTATATGTGTTGCCACGGTAACAAATGTGATTGGAAAYCGTTTCCTGGTTCATTTTGATGAATGGGATGATACTTATGATTACTGGTGTGAAGAGGATTGTCCGTATATTCACCCCATTGGATGGTGCGAATCTACAGGCAGAAGACTAACGCCACCAAACGGTAACGTAACATAGAGCTTACGGAAAATTTACCATTACGACTCGTATCGCAAACCGTGATTAATTACTCTCTTATTTTTGTTGATTAGGTGAATGGTTTAGTTATAGGGGTCACAAAATGCCCGTGCCCCCCCCCTTTTCAGAGCCAAAAATTAATAAACGTGCACCCCCTGATTGCCTTTATATACGTCCCTTTAGTTATATGTTGTGCTTTTTCCGTAATTTCAGATGATGAGGTTCACACTTTTACGTGGAAACAGTACTTGAAAACAACCAGGGCTGTAGCGGCACCACCAGAGCTATTCAAAACGGTAAATACATGAAGCATGTCACATCATTTTAGTCTGCTTTACGTGTAACAGCATTCAGTACGTTGGCAGTACATATATCATTATACTATAATAGCCTTGCGTACAGCGCTACTTTGAAGTTACTACGGAAATGCGTAAATGCGTTACGTGTAACAGTATTCAGTACGTTGACAGTACATATATCATTATACTATAATAGCCTTGCGTACAGCGCTACTTTGAAGTTACTACGGAAATGCGTTACGTGTAACAGTATTCAGTACGTTGACAGTACATGTGTCATGGTAAGATGCTGTCATGGTACAAATAATAGCCTACGTTGACGTTTTTGTGGAAATACGTTAGAAGAAACATTGTTCGCGTTATGCAAAGACGTTTAACCCTTTACRTATAATTAACTAAGGTAACTACGTAAAATGCAAAATATGTCAATCTTTTTCTTGTGGTTGTTTCATGATTGGCTCGARCGGAAGGTGTTTCTCTGTCTCGTTGTCTTGGTTGTCATGGTTTCTCATACTCTTCCTTTCGATGCTGTGTCTGTAACCATAGAAACCATATATAAGGAAACCTTGAAAAAAAGGAGAAAATGTCATGAGTTAGACAAAGAAAGGCAATTGAAAACATAGATGCATTACGATACAATGAGAGAGAATGTGTTCACTGTTTCCCTCCAATACTTATAAGGATATAAAAATGTGTTTAGTCATGAGGAGTCGCCTCATTCGTTTGGTCGGCTATCATTTAAAATTCTTCGTTTTCAAGTTACGTCACAGCGGCCATCTTGGAGGAACTTCCACAAAGGATTTCTCATTAGTATCTTTTGTTCATTCCTCCAACATGGCCGCCAGTCTTTTATCTTTTGAATCCCATGGGAATGGTTGAAAACGATCAATAGTTGTTTTTCCCTACTTAAGACTAGTCGGTCTTACCTATAGTCATCCAAACACCAACACGCACGTACGTCCAATAACTCAAGTTAACTATCAATAACACATTAATGAAAAGAGCAGCAGTTGGTGTATATGGACATCCGGGAACCATAAAAGGAAATGTTGTATGGTTTCTTGGTTGTCTTCGCAATATCATKAATGAAACAACCATCTGTAAACCAAACACRCAAACTAGTACGATAGCCCAGACTTCTTTCTTCTTTAATGCAGCAAACCCACGTGACAATGTTAGTGTTAATCCCAGAATTCCAATGACCAAAGAGATGGTTGCCATGACAGCGTATTGGTATGACTTAGACGTTGGATTGGCTTTATGATTGGATGATTCKTCATTATTGGATTCGTTCTGAAGGCTGTCTTTGTCTGTTAGCTCTAATTTGAAAAATAATTGAAAGATTAGAATCAGTAATCCATTCAGTTGTGTGGTGGCCTCGTAAGGTCTCGTGAGAAGCTTGTTATGGGGCCCATAATATTATACTAATTATTTGCTTTCCCATACTCCCTTTCGGTATTAGCTTTGATGATGTAACCTTTTTAAACCCGACAACCTTTTTCAATACGTGCAAAAATGATTTATATATATTAAGAAGATAAAATAATAACTCATACAAATAGTCACTGTAAATAGTCTTCTATACTCACTCTTGCATTTCCACGGACTGTTAGTGAATAAAAAATTTATTACATGTTTTTGAGGCTAACACTACGTAAAAGAGATCGCTAAAAGGGTTTATTGTGATTAAAGTCCTGAAATTAATTAGGATATATGTCAATGTAATACTATGATAGCGCGCGACATTGTAGTTAGTTTATCTCTAGGATAATTAAGAATCCCAAGCATGTCATCGAGTACTTTKTTACATGATTATGAATTATAGCGATCAAATATTACGATCAAATATATATTTTTTCTAAATAATATCGATAATTTGGTTTTGAATCTGATTTAAGTGACGTATAAGTATCTTGCCTTGGTATTCTAGTTCTTCTTTATCCGATTGCTTTGCACAACACAATGTCTTAAGCCAATTCCTCCGTGTTATTCCAACCTGACCATCAGTATTGATAGATACGCTAGCTACATCTGGTTCATAACGGGTTAGTATAACACCTAAAGCTATGGACGWGTAGGCAACAAGAGTACCAATTGACACCATCTCTACCAACTGTTTAATGTCTAACAGTAATGCCATTCCACCTGCTATGCAGAAGTGGACCAATGTCGCTCTTACAGGGACCKTAGTTGTTTGGTTGACATGGGACAGGAATTCAAACAACAATCCATCCTGGGCCATGGTATAAATAACTCTTGCAGCGGAGAATGTTACACACTGCAAAACACAAGACGTGGCACAAATGGCACCAATTGATATTATATACTTGGCGAAGTGTAGACCTCTAGTTGCAAATGCATCAGCCAACGCTGCAAACTGACTTAACTTGTTGTATGGTATGATGAGAGTCAAGATCGCAGTAACACCAAAGTAGCAAAGAAAACATAGGGATAAAGACAGAATTATCGACACTGGTAATGATACTCGAGGATTGATTGCTTCTTCGCCCGCTGATGCTACAATTTCAAARCCACTTGTAGCRAAGAAGGCACTTCCAGCAGCGGTGAGAATCCCGCCAACACCAAACGGTGCAAATTTYTCAGGAGATGACCAATTGTCTGTATTGAYAAAATACATCCCTCCAAATATTATAAGCAGTATTACTATGATGTTAACAATTGTTGTCACTGCGTTGAAAATAGAGGACTTCCTGACTCCAAGACAAGCTAYWATTGTAGTACAAAGAAGTAAGAACAAAGCCAAAAAGTCAGGAAACGACCCAAGAAAAGATTCATGCCATGAGCCAATGTTCTGTATGAAAAATTCGTAAATCTTTCCCCCTGCAATTGAGTTAATGTTCTCGCTGCATGCTCTSGCTACCGATGCTCCAGWAATGATGTATTCAAGGGACATATTCCAACCAACTATGAAGGCAATTAATTCACCGAGAGTTAGGTAACTATACGAGTAAGCCGATCCACAAGTAGGCACACGYGAACAGTATTCAGCATAACAGAGCCCTGACARAAAAGCTGCAACAGCGGCTATAAAGAATGAAATCACTACGGAGGGACCCGCAACATCACGAGCCAATTCACCAGTAACAACGTATAAACCAGCTCCTAGACAAGAACCAATGCCAAGGATKGTTAAATCAAACGTGTTCAAACATCGTTTAAGTGAAGACTCCCTTGAAAGATTTGCTGTTCTTTTGTGGAATAGCCTCGAGAATATTCCTTTCATCTTTCTCTCAAAGTATTCCTTTCGATATACTAGTAGATCTACAGTGTAGTTTTGATTAGGATTCTATTTCTAAAGCAATATTTTTCTTTTGTCTTATATGCCAAAAGAATGATCGCTTCATTAGTTTATTTCAAGAGAAATTTGCATTTTCTTTCATGCATGTCAGATGAATAATACGATATAATAGTCGGTC